CATTGGTTCATGCTCAGGGCAACCCCAGTTCACCCACCATTGAATGGATATTTAATCTTACTGTTTGGGGAAGTGAAGGAGGTTGAATGTAGTACCAGAATCTTAGTACAGTACTGTACTATTCACTTTTATCCATACTGCCCCTTACTGGTAGTAGACTCATAGAATTCACTTTCATCATGTCTCGAATAATGCACTTGCACAGGAGTATGCTCAGTGCCCATTTATTGCATATACAGATGTTAGTATTAGTGGTAATCCATGAAAAATCTTTCTTTGGGTGTTACATGGATTTGTCAGTTACCATTCATAAAAATGAATTATTTTAAAATGGAGAAGCAATATTTAAGATTTATGAGACCTTATTTTTATAGACAATAGACCCCATAAAATCTGCACTGATTGAGACCAAGAACAGGGCATCTACTATGGAGGTACATTTAAATCTTAAATACAATGAATATAATAAGCATTTAATAGTCTTTGGTACAATAACACAGAATGGAAAACAATGATTTAACTTAAAAACTTATTGGTTAACCCTCTCACAACACTCAAAACACTAATTTATGATCAAAACAGGAAGCATTGCAAGTGATGGGAGATTTGATTTAAAGGGACTGATCCAGCTTGCTAAGAAAACACTGAAATTATTTCATATATATATATATAGTGTCCAGACTTCTACAAATTACCAGAAATTCATCAGATTCTTAGATAATGCAATTCGTATCTCGATTCAAATAATAATATGGATAAATTTATGAAAATTTTCTCAAGTTTATTGTTGTTAAGCTAAAACTATTGTAGGAAGTAACAGATCTCCAGATGATAGTCACCAACTTGGCAACAGTGGTTCTGGCCACCATGGTGAGATATGTCTAGCATACTCGGGCTGTACAGCACCTACAGTACTGTATAGCTTGATATACACATGGTCATTTCTCACTATAGTGTGTTCAGTGACTCGCCATGTGTTTAGTTAGTACTTCAGCTTGTAATGGCAAGAAAAAAATCGGTGAAGTATATATCAGTTTGTAATGAGGTAAAGGATTAATCAACTTGGTGTGTGAGGAGTTCCGAGTGTGGCTCTAAAATAATTATGTATATTTGCACTTTCACCCTTGTGTATTTATTATACTGCTCATAGTACTTATTGTAAATTAAAATTTGGTTTTGAAATACTGCACTGTAATAACCTAGGTGTGTTAATGCAGTTAATGTTTCACCACTGGGTGTAAGCATGAATTTTAGCATGGAAATGTGTTGGTTTGTTGAAATCCATGTAATGAAAATGAGTCATGCACTGCATTCATTTTTTTTTTTTTTTACATGTGAATTGCATCAAGTGGTGCAGAAGGCACTTCATATGTAAGGCAGATGATATGGGGTCTGTTGTATATATCTATATTGGAAGTCTTACTGGTGTACCATGTAAATTACAGGATCTTATAAACTGTTGTCTGTAAATAAAAAAGATTTGGGTAAGAAATTAAGAGTATCACAGTATTATGCTACAACCAAGACTGAATAAATATTATTCAACACAGTAAAAGTTAGTTCACTAACAGTCATATAGTAGAAAACTCAGAATTTTTAATAGGCCTCATTTCTGTATGAATAAAAAAGTCGGTTCATTACGGCATTTTTCTTGTAACAAGTTTTATAGTGTTAACTATTTATAGAAATAAGTGTAAAATCATAATGCTTATTATTTTTATTTGCAATATGTAATAGTAAGGCACTCCTTCAAGAGAGCATGCTAATCCTGGTTTTGACATTTCTATTAATTCTTATTAATGGTATTTGCCCAGAGATTGGTATGCAGTGATCTAAAATTTGGGTGAGCCGTAGACATTGGAAGCTTCCTTGCTTTAATTTGAGCAGCAGTTGACATAAGTGTTCTGTATGTTTCAGTACCTGGTGTTTGACACTCAGATGATCGTGGGTGGGCGAAAACACGAGATGTCTCCCGAGGAGCACATTTTTGGCGCACTTGTTCTCTACCTTGACGTTATCAACATTTTCATAGCTCTGCTTTCTCTCTTTGGTGGGAGAGATTGAGGACTATGACAGAACAAAGGGAATGTGATAGTGTGGTTCCAACAACCATTCTTGTCGCAGTAGTCTTAAGATCAGTGAAAAAGAAAACTTGATCTATTTAAGGTTGATTTATTTATATACAGTACCTATGATGTAGAGCATATATAGTAGTAATAGAATGAAAAAGCCTTGTATTAAGGATATTATTAGTTAACATAGAATTAAGGTCTTTGAGGATTAATGCTCAGTCCTCTTATTTAATTCAGTTTATAAACATTCTCTCAAAGAATTCTTGTAATGAATATGTTGATGCTAAATTTACCAAATAAAATAAATCTCCATTATTCAAACTCTGAATTAAAGGAGTCGTGTGGGTCTTATGCAGTTTCTCCTAACATAGTGTATTTTTATCTGTTTTGAAAATGTAGATTAATAGTTAAGGTTTTGCAAGAAAACGGTAAAAACTTGCCATTATTGATATGTTCGTGGCAGTAATTCAAACAGTTGAAGTCCATCTTGACTCTCAAATGGCTGAAATGACACGGGCCTCATAAACCATAGTCATGAAGTGCTTAGATTAAACTTTACTTCAGATATATATTTCCATCCTAAAAAAAAGATGTAGCCTTTTAACATATTTTGATGCCGCTTACTTCTCATTGTCACACAGGTAACTTGTGAGCGAATGGCCTTCCAGTTTTTATCTTTTGCAGTTTTTTTTCGGAATGTATTCAGTCAAAATACTGTGGACGGTAACTCCCACATCATAAGAGACAACATGACACACTCTTCTTGAAACAAATGTTCCTTGGGATGTATTTAATGTATGACAGAACTACAACACGTTCAAGAGCACCTGGGTAGAAACACTCTAGCTTTACTTCCTTTTCCCCCAAAATTTTCATTTCAGCTTGATGGAATGTAACAGTAAAATTAAAAGTTTTTTATATCTATTCATCTACCATTTTTTGAAAAGTTTAGTTGGAAGATTGCATGATGAAGTGATAATGTTTGGAAATTTTCTGCATTTCATGGATATTATTTGTTTTCTAATACAAAAATGTTTAATGAGCTTGTTTGATTGTGTGTGGATATACGCTCATGATATAACTAGTAATTTTGTTTTGTTTCAAACTTGTAAAGAATTTTTAGGTTGACATTTTTTCAGCAGATTGTTCAGGGCAGTTAGAAATAACCCATGTGCATCTTTTAAAACAAAACAAAAATACTCCATAAACCAAGTACAGTAGTTATAATAAGGACATACCAGACCCATGCAGCACTTAAGTCACCAAAATTCTCTTACATTGTTTTTGCAAATTCAGTTTGTTCCTGAACAGTGTTGGCATTGTTGGAGACCACAGAAGTTTGTCTCATTACTTGACTATTGTACTACAGTATACTGTTAAAGAATTTAAGTTATGTCATTGGATTCCTCAGGTGATTTTCATCTGTCTGTTTATTGCAGTACGTATCTCACTACTATACACCTGGGTAGTTTATGCTGAATCTCATGATAAATACATAACATGATCTAGTGTCTCTCTTCCCCCCCTCTCTCTCTCTCTCCCCAGGTATATATATATATATATATATATATATATATATATATATATATATATATATATATATATATATATATATATATATATATATATATATATATATATATATATATATCCCGTCTTGACCTTACCATTAATCCTCTTTATATGATATATTTGACATCAGATACATTATTCTTTTCCCTTATTTTTACTAATTTGTCTTATATTTGTCAGTAATTCAGTGTCCCATCTTCCAAGGATTTTAACATTCCTCAGTTTTCTCCGTCAACAATCTACTTCAGACCTGTGATAAACTCTTGAGCTTTTTTAATACAGAATCAACTATGATGGACTTCATTAGTTTTAATGACTAGCCTCTCACTGGTGGTGTCACTAGAGGTTGAGGTTTATATAATATCTTGTTTTGATGTTACGGTACAGTACTCGGGTAGATTTTATTTCACTGAAATGTGACATCGGGTGAAAGTGATCTTATTTATTTTTATTAACAGATTAAAAAGAGAGATCTGAACTGTGTTGTTCACATTACTATTTTTGATGTACTCATTTTAATTTTTTTTTACTTTTAATAAATTTGCAGTGTTGTTGTACTTTTGATGTGTGAAAAGATGTCCATAACATTATGCTTATATTTTCTATTATGATTTTAACATTTATTTTGAAAGGAATTCTTCATGAAATACCTTAATACAGTACTTAGTAAAATCCTGCTTCATTCTTAGTAATTGAAGAATTTTAACAGATTTGGAAATTTACATACAGTAATGTGTGAGATTATCATCCAAAACATTATTTATGTGATATTCATTTAGACATATTCTGACTTTATTTCTATTTAAAAAATAAGTTTTTGCATTTATGAAATTTTTTAATGGTGTAGATTTTCATTTATTTTTATAATACTACAGTAAGTTGGAATTTCATGAAGATAGGACACCATTGTTACTCTTTGTACTGCATTATAATTTTATTTATAATATTTTTGTTTTGCTTTAATAGTTTGTCTTTTGAGAACATCTTATAAAAATATGGAATCTTATGTGAATGAAGACTGACCAGATGTTTTATGATGAGTAGCTTTTTTGTTGTTTTTATTTGTTCTTTTGGGCTCTGTGCATTTTTGTTTCTGAAGAATGTCCTTCAGGCATTTGCTTCTTTATTATGCTATTGAGTTCTGTCTTTCACACTAATTTGCACAGTCGTAGATTGGATCTGGAATATTTTATTAAAAATCGGTACCTGTACATCTCTTGCATGAAGTATTGTCTTTCTTCTGTAGAAGATAAATATGATGAATTGAAAAATATTCTTGATTTTTATGGTTTAATCAGTGTAATAGGAAAGCATTATTTGGGCACAGGAATCTCATCACGTGCTTGTTCTCCCCAGTACCTTGTGTACGATACGCAGATGGTGGTTGGTGGACGCAGGCACCAGATATCTCCCGAGGAGCACATCTATAGTGTGCTGACGCTCTACTCGGACATAGTTTACATCTTCATGAATCTTCTTTCAGTCTTTGGGTCCAATGATTAAATGGCACTCTTGCCTTTCCTCAGTTCTTGTTGGAGTAATATATCTTTGTGAAGAGTGGGATTGAACAGTCCCAGATTAAGATAGAAAGTTACATGCATGTTATTATAGAGATCAGTACAGTAATATAAAGAATTATAATGCCAGCCCTAAGAGAGATGGTCATGAATCATAGTCTCAAAGCTGTAGGATCTTTACTAGAAGGGTTATCACATACAGTATAGATGGTCCATCTTAATACAGGACTCGCATTATCTAATGGTTGTCTTTGCTCATGCTCTTTGAACCTTGTTCAGTTTGTTTTATTCAGTTGTCAATATAGAAATAACACAGGCTGTAGGCTGTTTAATCCCCTCACACTTTCCTAAAAATTGTGAGACTGATATGATGTACATATCCTCTTGTGCTTCATTCATCCACTTGTATGTTAATTGCTATAGTACATAGTTGACACCATGAAGATATGAAATAAGTCTGATCATTCAAAATGCCAGTTTTTAATCTGACAGCCGTTTGCCTTATTTTTTTTTTTACGAGATTTTGTAGTCGTGTATCTTTTGGAAATGCATTTTCCATATTGAAATTTTATTGGTGTTTATTTTAGTACCAGTAAACAGCTGCTCATATTTCATATAATTAACCCAGCACAGCAACTATATATGGAATGTTCTCACTATTATTAGATAGGGGAGCCATTTCATGATTGATTGTTTCCAAAATCAATATTCATACATACATACATATATATAAATTTTTGAGTATTTATTGAAGGTGATGTGTAATTATAGTCTGTTTGAAAGATGAATTTTTTGGAAAGATCCCCTGAAAATTAAAAGCAAATTTGAACCAGGTGTACTGTAGGTACAGTGCATTAATCTATAGATAAATTTCAGAGTACTGTCCTTCAGTATTGGATATTAAATACACATCTAAAGTTTGACATTTAGATAACCTTAAATTATTCAATACTGTGCAAACTATTACCTGGCTAATTTTCTGTAAACCTCCAGATCAGATTTAAAGGTATAAGAAAATTATGATTTTTATATATATGGTGGGGGTAAAAAAACTACTTAAATTATGCCTTAGTTTCATACTATACTGTACTGAATTTAGAAAAAATGTCCTTTTACAAACAGGCTTCCTAAAAACCTATGTTAGCTGTCATCTTCAAGTTCCTTGAGGCATTAACTTGATATCTTAAAAAAACACGAGTAAGAATCTTCAGTCATCACTGTTAAGATGCTTGTCCAAATGCTGTACTGTTCATTGATGCCTTTATTTAAATCTGAAACTCAATATTTAGTATGGCATTGTAGATGATTAAAACTTAATTATTTTTAATTATGCAGATTATTCTTCACTCTAAAGGGATTTTCTTTAAAATGCATGGATACTTCATTAAAATCAAATACTGACTTTGCTTAAATTATTTCACTTAAGGTTGGTACTGTATGCTTATATTGCCTTATTAACATGAGTTGAGTCACAGTTGTAGGCAGAGTGATATGACCTAAATAGACCTCAATTTTTTCTTTTTAATCTCATTGAAGTTGTGCTAAGATTGTACAAGATAATAGTAATTATAAAATTAGGTTGAATTAGAAAATTTATTCCAAGTTGATTAAGTTTACTTTTATATCCCCTGTCTTTTGATTTGAATTTAACCCACATACTGTACTATTGTATTAAGGAGCTGTGCTCATGAACTTGAAAAGTTATCACCATGGTGTTGGTTATATTTGCTGCTGTTCTGACAGCTCTTGCTCTGCAGGATAACAAGTTCATCAGCAGTCTCATATACAGTAGAGAGATAATGTGTTACTTCATGTCTAGTGAAGTCATTGGTAGCTTCATGATTATGTGCAGTTAGATGTGTATTTCCTTATATGTCTGCAACTCCTGCATAAAATAATTGGATTGATGTATATTTTAATATGGAGATACAAAATTACATTTAATGAACTCTACGTACTTTGTACATCAACTAGGGAAAATATTACTCTTTCATAGTCATTTTTCATTATTATTAAAAAGTGATGCATGAGTTTGCTTTTGTGTTGTGAATAAAGGACAGTATTTTAAGAGTTGGCTGCATTGGTTAATTCATTTAATGTGACAGTATTAACATATTTATTTGATGGGAATTTTTGTGGTGTCTGGCTTTGAGAGATCCTCTGCGCATACTGTAGGGATCACTAACTTTGAGCATATGTGCAGTATAAGGAACTACAGAAATACAAGTACAGTACTTTATATAATCTGAACCTTTAAGTTAATAATATTGAAATTTCTCCTGCTAGATTTTTATGTACAGTACATGTATTTAGAATCATTGTTTTCTTTCATTGAGCTTATCTTAAAACATAACTAACCATTATTAAACTGTGCCCTTGGCAAAATATTAGTGTAAAAGTACATTTTCTAATTCTAACTAATATTTTTAAGTTTACCATAAAAATATATTAAGATGTACTTTTTATTTTGTTTCATACAACTGTAGTTGTTTAGATACAAAGGCTCTGTGTATTCACATCATCATCATTATTGATGGGATTACAGTAAATAATATATTAACTGTAGCCATATATTTGAATGACACTAAAATAACCAAACTTTAGTTACAGTATTTAAGTCATGTATTGATATAAATTAGACATCAAAGTGAACATTGACAAACAATTTCATGACTAATAAAAAAAAGGGCACTGTACTGTATACAGTATATATAATTTTGGCAACAGCGTTAATACGTGTATTGGTAAGTCAATATTTATTGGACTTAAATCTCATTAACTGAAGATCAGTTTGTTGAGTGTTCGTGTCACTACACTGTACTGTACTGTAGTTGTGTATGGTTAAATGATTTTTGTAAGGTTGCAAGGTTTAGGAATTGTATGGTTCACCCCAAGAATTAAACAGTTAATTCATGGGTCATTTCTTTACATGGTTCTAATTGGTCCTTGTTATTGATGAAGGTTGAGACTCTAGGACCAGGGTGGCTGAATGGTGATGTAGACTACTGTACTGTACTGTACAGCTACTGAGAAATGGTTATCCACACCCCGAGTCCTTCATTTAGGTAACCACTTGTCTTGTCCTATGGGAGGCTGTACACCACTGCATTTGATGGATACAATTTTGCCATATGTTAAGTAGCCTTAATGAAACTAAACCAAGTATGTTTGATTAAAATGCACATTGTTAAGAATAGTTGAAACGGTATTGCTTTGAGGGAATCTAAACTATAGTAGGTATCATTATCCTTGAGATGGTTTCATATCCATTTGTCATTAGTATTCTTTACACAGGTATCAAAATGAGCATTTTTGTCATATTCTGCTTAGCTGAGTATAATTAACATAGTTTTATATGTGTATAGAATGGAATATATATATATATATATATATATATATATATATATATATATATATATATATATATATATATATATATATATATATATATATATATATATATATATATATATATATATATATATATATAATAATGGAATTTATAGTGTATTTATTCTTATTGGTGTTCACGGTCCATAACATGGCCATTGTGAAGGTATTCACTATGTAACTGTATTTAGTATTTTCATTGATATAATAATTTTGAATGTTACAAATGAATTAGGACACATGTTGTGCATTTACTTATGGAATCTCTTACTTTTCAGAGGATTAGATACGTATTGTGTGTGGTATTGAATGAACATTACTGGCCATTGACAATTCAGTATTTTAATTTTTCACTGTCCTCCTGCAGTAACGACTTACACCATATTATGCAGTCAGTGGAATTTTGCAGATGGCTACATTATACTGGAATTTGTTGCTTTGTTGAATAATTCTGTAGATGCACCCACAAAGGATTTACCCAAAATGTAAGTAAAAGTTCTGTAACATTGAAAAGATATTTATTAATTTCATTATAAAGAGATTGGATTGGTGATTTAATTTTTTAATTCGATACAATATCTTAAATTACAGTACTTGCAGAGTATACTGTTTAATTCAGCGTATTATTTATCTCCCATATGCTACACAGTATGAAAACATTGTACATCTTAGTAAATCTGGCCTGGCAGTGTACCTAAAGTAAATGTTTGTGATAATCCATAATAAAAGTTTTTAAATCATAATAAAGAGGGTTTATAATCCTATTAAATTGGACATAGAGATTTTTAAAAAGAGATGTGAAGAAGTCTGGAAGATGCTTTGTATTCAACCACGAACCCCCTTTATTATGGGATGATACTTCTAATATTTTATTTGGGTAACGACATGTATTTATTCAGCACAGAGAGGAGTTCTGTACACCAGGGGTTAAGGATGACTTGGTACTGGATTATAAAAAGGTAAAGAACTTAACACTTGGGGTTCTTATACACAAATTTGCATATGAAGTAAAAAAATATAATTAAATTTTGTTTGTGTATGAATGCTAGATACTCGAGATGCACATTTGGCAACATTGGCACAATGTGGCAACTACGTTACCAGTCTCCCTTTGTGGTTCAACGATGAAACTCGTATATTTGACCCACATTTTCTCGCAGCTTGTGCTGAGTTCTTGTTCGTTAGTGATTTCATTTCTTAAAATTGGTGAGATATTTGACCCATGCCTCATGTTGCTGCTGAGGGTGGAAAAACGTAAGAAGTGCAAGAAGATTACACCACATGGTCATAGTGTGGTGCTTCTTGATGCGTTCTACTCGCTCTTTTGTCGTGATTGCTTCTCTAAAACTGTTTGTAGATACCGGGATATATTTACACTGGTAATGCAGCAAATCCCACCTATTTATCTCAAATAGCAAGCTTTTTATGACTCGTTATGTTCAATTATCTCTCGGTCAGTGCAGTGAGGTGAGTACCAACAGGCCAGACCCCGAGTGTCTCGTGGGAGAGCCTATCCAAACCCAAATAGTGCTAATGTGATGTAAAAAGACATTGGGATTAACTTACAAATCCTACCAGATTTTGTACATCTCCAGAGACCCACTGGTAGCTTCATTTCATTCATCCAAGTCAGTCACATGCTGTGTCTTCCATTTGTTCATCTGCCCTCAACTTTAATTGTTCATGTCTTTTTCGTAATCCCAACATCCCTACTTAGAACATATGCTCTTCTCAGATTTGCTCTTTTGTGATGAATTTATTGTGGTCAAAGTGCTTGACTATTTGCATGCTGGCAAGAGAGAAAGTAGTGACCAAGAGTATAGTGTTGAAAAATATGGACACCATTTTCTTTCTCCCTCACAGCATCATTCTACAGACATGCCAAGCATCCTGCAAAGTATACAGGTATAATGTGTAAAATTCAGTTTTGAGGAAACTGGGAATGCGAGAAAATCATACCATAAGAGTTGATTTCTCCTGTTAGGTGAAGGAAGCTTTGATGTAGTCTCCCAAAAGAGTAACGTTATCCATTGGGTCGATGTGATTCGAGACATTCCGAGCAATATTACTCGACCTGTTTCTGAACGGTTGGTAGTTCTACATCAGTGACTTTCGAGCATGAATGAGTGTACAGTGTGTATTTGTTTTTGAACGTTAATACAGCTTAATGGATTTCTTGTTATAATGAGGTATGAGGTACGCCATACAAGGACGACTCCCTCCCCCAATCCTACCCCCATCTCTAGCTGTTGTTGATTTGGCAGTAGGCATGCCAACTTATGATGATGTACTGGAGATCATATCAAACCATTTCATCTAGTTTTTCAAATTGTAGCGACGGAAATCTAACGATACTTTGGGGGGACTGTACAATAGCCAACTTTATTCATGTGGTAATGGTGTACTACAGTATGCACCTGTGACAAGTACAGTACACAAAAAACGGAGTCCCCAAGTGTATCTGCACTATTTGATATGTACAGCTGCTCCCCGACTTACGATGGGGTTAGGGACCCAAATTCAGGTCGTAAGTCGAAACGGTCGTAAGTCGAAAATGCTTAAATGATACATAGAAAATCTAAAATGGGTGTCACTTTTTCTTCTCAGCCCCACAAAACTCTCACTTTTAAGCTTGCCAGCCATTTTAAAGTGAATTACAAACGAAAATTTTGTCAGAACACAGTGCAATCACTGGCGTTGGGACTCGAAAATACGTAATATGACAAAATTTTCGTATGACTAAGGCTGTCGAATGTCCGGGTGGTCGTAAGTCGGGGAGTAGCTGTATAGAGAAATAACAGATGTGGCCTGCGGTCAACAAGATGACGACTTGACAAGGCGGCACACGCCTATAAGGGAGAGACGTAATTTTGACGTTTGTGTTAAGAGAGTGCCTCGGTAACACCAGAAACACCATTGTAGATGTACTGTACCGTGCTTGAGAACTATTTTGAATGGCAGCAACACCTCTACCATACTCTCCGTGGGAATCTCATTACTATTATACACCTTTTGCACTGTCTTCCATATTAATCTGGTGAGTACAATATATTTTTTTAATTATTACTATTGCTGTTTTTTACTTATTCATATAGTATGCAAATTTGAAAATGTCATGTGTGTCATTTGCTGATCAATATTCATGTAAAAAAAAAATAATCTGTAGTGGCTAACAAAACATAAGAAATAGGTTAATGTGGCAATAATTTGGGCTAGTTAGCATTTCAAACACCATAAGCAGCCGAGAGCCTTCAATGAAACTTATAGAGAATGCTCATTCACTGAACAGAAGTTTGCAATGTATTAATTTTGTTGGAAATAAATAAATAATTTATCAATTTTATTTATTACAGTACTGTACAGTAGCTCTCATTCATAGTGAAGTATTATAACTTATTAGTGTGTGCTGTACGTACTCTCCATTGCAGATGATGCCATTCATGTCTTTGAGTGCAGTCAACTGATAACCAAAATACCACCTCATTTTGTTTGTAACTGGAGTTCAGTATACTGTCCAGTAATTTTATCTGAATAAAAGTAATTTTAAAATTTTCTGTACCTGTATCATTTTCCTTACATATGAATGAGAATCCAGTATGTACATTACCCGGGGCCTAAGGGTTAATACAGTACGTACTGTATCTAACGCTTTAGTAGCTAATAGCTATCGTGTGCAATTTACATGCTATCCAGAGCAATCTGTTTACTGCCAAGGCAACATCGGCTGATCCCTCATAAATCCTAACGTAATTTACCTTAATAATTAAAGTAATTATCTCAATTTTGTATAGTTTTCTTAGTTGTTAAGGAAAATACAAAATCCATCATGCTATTGTGGAGTGACTTTTAGTGTTCTCAATATTAACGTAGTCTTATAAACCTATCTTACATTTCATAACGAAAATTAAAGGGAAAATAAAATAATTATGGATTTTTTTTATAATACTGTACTGTACAATTTTCTTCATTGCAAAGTACAATGAAGTTTTCAGCAATATTACTGTATACTGCCTTACAAGAATGATTTCAACAATATTGAGGAAACCCTTCAGATAAGGCACTAGAATCTTGAAAGGGATGGAAGACGTCATCCTGGACCATATTTTATGATGTCATGCACCACCAACTCGAGAAGGCGTTACTTCAAGCTTACCAAGTTATCATGAAGAATGTTCATAGAGAAATACTTCTTCACACAGAGGGTGGTAGACCTATGGAACAATGGAGGGATCCTGCACAGCCCACTGGTCACCTTCCCTGGGCATGGCCACCTTTAGTGGGTAGTTATGTAAATAAGGTAAAATATTTTGGCTTTTTTTTTTAATTTGTGGTTTGTTCCCTGTTTTGGTTAATCAGCTTATCTGGACCCCCCCGTTTATATTCTGAATTATGAAGGATCTAGCATACAGTATAAAGACTCTTGAATGCCCTGAATAAAGGATCTGGGGTCAAGAAGATGTAATTTTTTTACTTGTCTTAACTAATTTTTTTTAAGTTAATTTTGCAAGCTTAATTACAGTACATTATGGCAGTACAGTACTGTATTGTACTTATCCTGATTTATTGTGTTTTTGCTATTCTACATATACTGAACTGTATTACTGTAGTGAAACAAATTAATTTACAATTACTATTCCAATTTCAAGGTTTGGCAGAATTTGAGATAAGTTGGATTTCTTATCTTGGGTTAGATTAAAAAGTTAGCTTTGGGTAGGATTTTGACAGTATTTTGTGGGGAATTTTTTGCCCAGGTTATGTACTGTATTATATATACTGTACAGTATAATATTTTTGCTCCCACCACTACTGGATGAAGAGCATCAGTGGAGACATGCCTCATCCCTGCTATGATTATGATTGCCATCTCTCGAGGAACTACTCCACCTGTGGCCAGAACAATCCGTACAGACTTCCAAGTCAATGAGTGAGTGGGAGGTAAGAGATAGAGGGGGAAAATAAATGAGGGATAAAGAACAAGAGGGATTGAGGGAGGGGTTGTGGAAGGGAAGACCACTGACAAGGAAGGAATGCATGAGAGGAGTAGAGGGAGAGGGGTAGGAGCAGAAGGGTAGATAGTTAGGAAGAGTTGGTCTAACAGATTACACAGGTTACAAGAAAGTAACATTGAAGCTTAAATTTACGTAATTTACTTTATCCTCAACACCAGGTGATCAAACAGTTGGCCATTTCTCTGTTATGCACTGTTGGCAAGTATTGTACTGGCTCCAGAATGTATCTGAACTTGCACCAGTGTTGGTCAAGTCTGGTCATAAATGAGTTCATACTTGGTGCCATCACAACATACTCTGGCAAATCATTCAAAGGGTTTACAACTCTCACTCCAAAAAAAGAGCTATAACAATTTTCTGTACTTGTGGTTTCTTTAACTTGAGGTTGTCGCCTATAGTGGATGCAGGCACTGACTAACTCCAGATGTGAGTACTTAACAGTAATGTCCCCAGAGGCGCTTATAAACTAATATTAAATTACCCCTTTCTTATTTATAATATAGGGTAGGCATCCACAGGTTAAAATGTCTTGGAACCTGGAGTGCATTCACCAGTCTGGTGGCCATCTTTTGGATGTTCTCAATCAACTGACAGTCTCTAGTGTATCTTGGTGACCAGATGGGATGACAGTACCCCAAGAGAGGGAGCACAACACTTTTCATCATCAACAACATTTTATGGCCATTTTCCACTTTGAGGGACAGACCATCCAGGTAAGTGAGCTCTCTTTGTAC